TAAGAAACAACATCGACCGTCAGAGATTCCTGTCTCCCCCTTTTGCCCGCAACTTAAGATGAGGTTGCATCGCGCGTGTTATCCGTGTCACCAAAGCGGTTCTCGTATCTTCTTTCCCTTCTCCAGACGAATGAGTCGCTATCCCCGCTATGTGAAGTCGAAGAACCTCGGCATCTCGTATTTCGCTCGTATTCTCGGATTGCAAGCGCGGAACGATAGTGAGCTTCACGCTCTTTTGCACAATTCGCGATAAACTCTTTTCACCGTCCAAGAAAACGCGCCGTACCAACATTTTATAAGTCCGTTCCCGAATGTTCACGAGTATCAGCTGCTTAACTTTTTACTGCAACTACGCAGTACAGCATCGCAGTTGTGTTTCTTATGCATTAATAAGTTTCAGGAATGTTTCTCTTTTTTTTTTTAAAGTTTTTAACGATTACACGTTTGCTTTTCGTTCTGAACAGAATTAATGTATACCACGATGTATTTCATTGTTTCAAGTTAATGTTTCTTATTCTTACAAAATTTTAGCGATAACATGTTTGTTTCTGTTTTATGCACTTCCGAGGAGAGTCAACATACGTTTTGATAAATTCCAAGAACGTTTCTTAACATATTTTAGCGATAAGACGATTGCTTTTTGTTGTAACGTATATCTCGACAAGTTTCAGAAAAGTTTCTCATTCTTAAAAAGTTTTAATAATTACGTCATTTGCTTTTCATTTCTGAGGAAAGTTTATTATGTACACCATAATAAATTTCAAGAACGTGATTTTTGATTCTTACAAAATTTTAGTGATAACACGTTTGCTTCTCGATCTGCGCATTTCTTAAGAGATTTAATATACCTTGGTAAGTTTCTTATTTTTGCAAAATTATAGCGATAATATATTTGATTTCCGTTTTATGCATTTTTATAGAGATTCAATATACTGTATTAGGAATTTTTTTCGTTTCTAAAAAAATTTCAAATCAAGTACATCGCTTGCTTTTCATGCATTCTACATTCATACTTTCACGCATTTATGAGGAGAGTTAATATTATATATCCAATAAATTTCAGAAATGTTTCTGATTCTTACAAAATTTAGCCATAATAAGTTTATTTTTCGTTTCGTATATTTTTGAGGATAGTCAATATATCTTGACAGTGATTCTCTGTCAATCTGATGTTACAAGATTAGCGATACTATTTCACTTTATCTGTTTGTAGTCTTGACATTTCCACTGAACGATCGCGACTAAATTACGTACCGTGCGCGAAATTGTACGTTTGCATTCTCAGACGAGCTCGCAGTCCTGATGCACCGTGATCCAGTTAGCCGGTCATCCTTTTGTATTGCACAATAAGAAATGCGACAAAGCTGCACAACGAATTTCAGCCTTCGTATGTACGGTCGGCTTTCTTCCCGTCAGTTATGTAAGGAAGCGTGCAAACTCTAAGGACGTCGAACGTCCGTAAAGAGAAGCCGTGTACTGATAATGGTGAAAAATAATTGGACCGTTCGGGTGTTCAGGTACTTTCAAAAGTCGTGCGTTGGACACACAAAGGAATAGAAAGAATCTTCTTGGCCTACATCCGTAAATTGAAGGCGCTCCTGCGGGCAGACAACTGAAAGTTTTGTCTGAAATCGATATATTTGCTGTTATTCGTGGATTTTAATGGAAGTTTATTTATTGAAATTATTTATATAGAGAATTAATGTGTATAATAATCAGGATTATAATAGTTATTTTATAAAAGTAACTTATTATCATTATTTGTTACTACCTTAAAAAAGTAAGTTATTATCATTACCGTTACTCAAAAGCTAACGAGTTGTTACAATTTTTGTTATTTTTTCACGGAGTTTTAATGATGTTCTTTTTTTAGAGTGATATCCAATTGTTTATGTCGCTAATTGATTCGCGAATTGAACACGAAACTTGTAGTGATTATGGTCAATGCAACATGATCAAACATATAATAATATATTCTTCTTTTAAAACTCGCTTATGTATGTTCCATATACATACGAGTATTACTTATTTGTTACAGCAACGACACAATTAAAAAAAAAGTTTTCCAAAAAATAAGTTTGAATGTTTTAAATCATTAAAATTTTATAATACTAATTTTAAAATGCAATTTTGGTGTAATAACTGATAGAATAAAAATATGTATTTTTAAATTGTGTTTTTTTCTTTTTTTATATTCCTGTTCTTTTTCTGCAAGCAATTTCAAAATCATATTTTTTTTAATTGTCATTGTTGTAGCAAATGAGCAATACATTGTACGCGTGCATAATAAAATAGAGATTTTATATCAGTGTCTGACTCCAAGCAATTTCA